CCGCAGAGATTGATCGGTACCATGTAACTCTCTCTGGCTTCATGCTATTGCTAGCCCGCACATTGAATAATTCTGTTCTATGTGGTTGGCTATGTACAACCCTTACATGTTAGGTCCGTACATGACACAACAGTTTCCATGACCTCAGATCACCTTGTGCACATTTCCCGTACGGTAGAGTTTATTTATGCACCCCCGTATTTGTATACGTCTCCCAGGTTCAGTGTACCTGCTCATATACGTCCCTGTGCGGACTGTACCGTATCTATGAATTTCCATCAACACATCTGTCTCTCCTTATTGCTTTTTCCTTCTCTCTCTCTTTCTCTTTCTCTTGGCTCTTTTCCTTTGGCATTCATACAACACTTTTCTTGCTCCTCAATTTATTACGACTACAGTGCAAATCTATCGAGCACACCAAAATTTCATACGGAATCGACCGACAGGTGGCCCTGGATGGCAACCCTGTTGAGATCCTAGTTGAAACAGACCTCCAGCTTCAACGTCTAGATGGACCTGTTTCTCTTCCACGCGTGCATGTGAAAGCAAGTGTTGTCGGATCACTCGCTGCTGTTGGCGCATACGTACATCTCTGCGCAGACCTAATTGCTGGCATCGGAGGTGTCAGCATAGGCTATGACGAAGCAGGTGAGTTAAACCCTGCTAAGTTTGGCCCGGGCACAGCAACTTCTGGCATCACAGCAACAACCGTGTGTGCCGGTGAACACCCCTTATGTCATGTGACCGTGACGAAGGATGATATAGGGGTAATGCTGGAAGCCGACAACGGTCTAATCCGATGGGATAAAGACACGGAGCAGTGGCGCTGGAAGGACCGACGGACAAGCGCCAACATGGCCGATCGGCTCAGTCATTTGCCAGTACGAACGCAGAGATCTGTTCGATGGTCCACAGGCTCAACCCTGTGCAGAAGTGGACTCGTGGGTAGAGAGGGTTTGGCTAGTAGAGCTTGATGAGGCCACCCACGGATGCATTGGAAACTTCATTCCACTAATGACGAAGAGCCAGACACACAAGGCTAGCACTCCAGTACGTCCGTGCTTAGACTACCATGGCTTGAATAACCTGATCCAGTCCAGGCCCGGTAAGGATGCGCCCGCATGTTCGGAGAAGATTCGTTAATGGCAGAAAGTCGGAGAGCGGTATGAGCTCGTTGACATACACGAGGCTTACCTGCAAGTGCACGTCGATCCTGCTTTTCAACGCTACCAGGTAGTCGTTACAAGCTGTCCGTGATGACGCGAGTGTGCCTTGGGCTAGCAATTGCCCAGAAAGTTATGTTACACGGCCTTGGCCTGAGGTGGACAAATATGTTGATGATGTGCTGATGCCAGCATCGACACGAGAAGCAGTAGCTGCTGAACTGGCGCGCTACAGCCTGCCGACAAAGCCACCAGAGCTACTGTCTACTGCACGAGTCTTTGCATTGCAGCTGTCGACATCTGCTACCAGTGCCAGATGGTTGAGGCGAGATGGCATACATCTTAAATTTGAGCTTCCCCTGACAAAGCAAAGCGCCTTCCAGTGGACCAGTCACTACCCAGTATGCGCCTGGCCCCAACCCGTTTGTTCGTACTTGAAGCATATGGCAAGCACAACTACTGGGAAGGACGATCCAGTTCTGTAAGGCAATGTACGGTGTGCCAAGGAAGTAGTTGAGCATATGGCATGTGGTGACACTGCGCGTGGAGTTTGGCGTGTGCCATCAACGTCTGACGGCAACTGGGCAGTCTACTGCGACGTGTCTGACCTGGCAACTGGCGTTGTGCTGAAACGCAATGGAGACATCATTGAGGATGGCAAGTGGCTATGTGATGGCGACGACAGGAAATGCATCAATGTCGAAGAACTCGATGTGGCAATGCGTGGCCTGTCACTGGCTGTTGAGTGGGGCATGGAATCAATGCAGCTCATTACCGACTCCAAGGCTGTATTTGGATTGCTTTGTGAAGTTGCCGAGAATGTATGCCGTGTTCGCGTAGTAGGCCTGCATTAGGTGCTCATTGAACATCATTTTACAAGTGGCAACTGACCTGATGGAGACCAGACGACTAAACTGCACCCAACGCTAGCGCAGTTGACGATGCAACAGGACAAGCCATCACGCGCGATAAGGTACATCATGTCCAGAGAGCATCTCCCCAGCTGATGCCTGTACTGTCGGCCGTCGAGCTAAGCAAACGAGTCGAGGTAAAACCATTCAACAGGATCAGAGACCAGCTTGTTATGGATGATGGAGAGTTATCTCGCAGCTTCAAGCTCCCAGCGGTCGGGAATGTGACCATGTCGATCATCCCAGAATCCCTGATACCACGTGTAGTGGAAGAAGCGCATCAGATGTCCGAGCACGGTAGCTAGACAGTGAGGTACGAAATGTTGCGCGGCATCTGCTACCTCCCAGGTATGAACTTACGCTGCCAAGAATATTGCCGTGACTGGCAAGCGTGCTGTGCAGCAAATGGACGCAGTGGAGCGACGGTGCCACTTACTGAACCAGATATCTTCAGTCGCCCTTCGAGTGTGCTGCAAGTTGACACACTAGAGTTGGCGCAGACCGCAGCTGACAATACCACTGTGCACTCGTGTAAGCTGATGTATTTAGCAAGCGGTTCGATGTAAAGCCACTACGCGACACGTTGCTGCTAGTCTTGCAGGAGCGCTGCATGACTAGTATCTGCTGCAGGTGGGGACCGCCCGACAAGACTAGAATGGACAACGGGACTGAGTTCCAGAATACTCTTGTCCAGGCCCTCCTCACACAATTCGGTGTGCGTGTGAAGACGGGAGCAATTCATCACCCACAGTTGCAAGGCGGCGTGGAGCGCATGAATCGGACTCTCATCACGCTGATGAGGAAAGTACTAGATAAAGTATCGGACTGGAGGAGGGAGCTCGACCTCCTGCTGTTCTACTACTGTTCCCGGTCGTATTCTTCGACAACAGTGTCGCCTATGCGTGCAATGTGAGCCTAGAAGCCCCGGTCATTAGTTCTGGAAGCGTGCCTGGGCGCCCCTGTGGTGAGCGAGTGGGTTAACAAGCTGAGTGGATCGGCTGGCCATGTACGCGATGTTGTGGAGAGAGAGAGTTGTCTGCATCGAGCCCTCCACAAGCACGCAGCAGCAAACAGTCAACCTACATTCTCGGTGATACAGCACTGTTTGTACGCCCCGGGTGCCACCAGAAGCTGCTCCCGCCATTTGAGCCTGGCTGGAAAGTGGAGAAGAGTGTATCACCATCAATTGTTGTGATCAGCCATGTCAATGGCGCAGAGACAGTGGTCAACATTGACTGCTGAAGCTAGACTGAGCTCCTGTATTACCGAACACTGAGGATGTAAAGGGAGGGGTGACTTGAATTGCCTTACATTACTACTGATGTCCACAGCGCTTCGCCGAGTCCTGCCAAGAGTGACAGTGATAGTGACGCTAGTGATAGTGAAGCCGTCGCCCTAGAATTTGATGGTGGAGACATTGACTTGGTCCCACCCTATGATCTCCATGCATTAAGCTATCCGTCGACGCCCAATGTGATAGTGTTCCTGATTAGTGACGTCTGGAGGGAGAGGTGTAATAGATTGGCCAAGTAACTGTCTACGCCATCTCATCTCTCTCTCTCTTTCTCTCTCTCTATTCCTTTCTTGATAACAAACATATTTGCGGTTGATCACTACGTGTCAATTATTCTTGAGCTTTGTATTATTAATTCGCACTGTGTTCGTGACAGTTTTCCATTTTCCAGTACTGTTGTGCGTGCACACGATGACGTAGGTCGCCATTTTGTCCGTGGCATCTTGGTGCACAAGCCTTTATCCTTTTTCTCTTGCTCTTTTAGTTTTAGTCCTTCTTGTGCAAAAGCAAGTAACTAGTCCAATGTCGAGTGGGCTGTGAGTGTTGCATGTTTGCCAGTGTAGACGGGGTAGTTCACAACAACACCAACCATAATGACATTGTTCTTGCATGTGCATGACTGCTTACTTTCACTAACACCAGGTCTACGGAGATGACTAGCACCAATAGCATCAACATCCGAGCCACTCTTTGCCCTTGGCAGGACACATTGACTTGGTGTGCTGAGATTGTCCGCACTGCGGGCACTTCGCTGGCTTGTCGGCTGGAGCAGATTTCGGCATACTCGCCAAAGCGGATTTGCAGCGTTGGTACGAGAACCTTTTCACGGCAATTACTTATGCAGGTACCATGCCGTCTCTGGTCTGCTGTGCGGCTTCCTCAGGCCTGCAAATCTTTGCCGCGGTTTCCAGGGTGAGGGATGGAGCTGCCAGGAGCTTATGGCATGTGCATTGTTGGCTATTCCAAGTACGATGTGGTCCCTCATCATGTCGTCCGTCACCTTGCGGAGGCTCTGGGGGCAAGTACTACACAACTGAGGTGTACGTGTGCTACACAGCTCCATGTCAGGGAAATCGAACTGCGCAAACAGTTCTCTCATCGCTGTGAAGAATGAGTCAAACGACTCCTTCCGCTGCTGCTTCCTGTTGTAAAAAGCAATCTGATCAAGGAGTGGGTTCCGCTGCCGTCCGATATACGCTTTTGATGATCTCCGGAGCATCGGCATTGTGGGAGACGACAATCACATCTTCGAGCTTGAAACAACAAATGCCCGCATCAAACGCCTGACGAAGAGCTGACACCCGAGTCTCATGACTTTGGCTGGTGAGCTGCTGAGACACAGCATAGTCGTTCCAAACCTCCTCCCATGCCTTGAAATTGGCCATGGTTGCAGTGCTGAGTGTTGTGGTCCCGTTGTTGTACCCGATCCGTTCCGGGATCGGTTACCCATATGCATTCCCGTACTGTGTACATATATGGATCCTGGTTGTGCATCTTTATCTTTCCTTGTTCTATGTAAATAAACTTTAGTTGTTGTCTGGGACTTGTGGAGTGAAGTTGATCTATGGAGTGCGGGAACTAACTTGATGTTCACTCAGGAACATTACATGGTGTCAGAAGTAGCAGTTAGTCATGTCGTCTGCCAAATTTCCTGTACCTGCCCCGTTCGATTTCTCCACCCCAGAAGCATGGCCAATCTGGAAGACCCGTTTTGAACGCTTTAGTTCTTTGTCCAAATTGGACGAGGCGGACGGGCAACGCCAAGTAGACACTTTAGTTTACTCCATGGGAGCCGAAGCCGATCCTATCTTTGAGTCTCTATCTCTGTCCGCGGATGATAAGAAGAAACTCGACAAGGTACTGGAGGCCTTTGACAAGTATTTTCGCCCGGGTGTAAACGTAATCCCCCAACGGACATTGTTTGAAAGGTGTGTCCAGAACCCAGGTGAATCCGTGGAAGAGTATGTGCGTCGTCTCCGTGCCGCAGCCAAATATTGCGCGTTTGACAAGTCAGATGAGCGTATCCGCGACAGGTTGGTGGCCCATATGACGAACCGAGAAGTTTCGAAGAAGCTACAGCTCGAGGATCACGCTCAGCTGACACTCGAGACTGCCGTGAGCTTGGCACGCAAAACGGAGTCCGTAAACGCCGAGGTCGCCCAGCAAACGCCCCGGGTGAGCCAAGCTGCTGCAGCTACCTCACCGCAACGGAAACACGGCAAGTCCCCTGCTTACGCAAGTTACGGATCGACGGGAAAGCGACCACAGGTCAAGTCCCAACGAGACTCGAGCAACGGTAAGAAGTGCTCGTGGTGTGGCTCCTCCAAAGACCACAAATCGAACCGTGACGAAAGCCCTGCCAAGGACAAGTCTTGTAACAAGTGTCGTAAGTCTGGACACTTCGCCAGCGTCTGCCGGTCTGCCTCCGCCAGTGCAGCACACAACGATTATGTGCATGTAGCTGAGTTTGACTTGCAGTCGGACCCCGTCGGCGAAAATTTCCTTGGAGCTGCTTCTACCCACACCGCTGACGAGCCGTGGATAGTACGACTGGATCTGTGCGGCTCACACCTCGATTTCAAAATCGACACTGGAGCTGATCTCAACATTATGACGCAGGCTAGCTACAACGGTTTATCTGCACCGCCAGTACTCAGTCCGTGCCAGACACGTATGATTGGGCCTGATGGGAACCAGCTCACGATACAGGGTGAGTTCCACACTTGTGCTGTGCTCCGTGATGTACAGTACCCAGTCACTATCCTGGTCATTGCCACCGGTGGTGTCAACTTGTTGAGCAGGCAGACATCTGAACAGATGGGCCTAGTACAACGTCTTCATGTTGGCTCTTCAGATGCCCAGCCGAAAATCGGATGCATGCTAGGCAAGCCAGTCGAGATTGAGTTGAAGCCAGACTGCAAACCATACAACTGTGTAAATGCTCGACGCATTCCAATACACATTTGCCTCAAGGTTCGCACCGAGCTGGAGCGTATGGAAAAAGCAGGTGTCATCACAAAAGTCGAGCAGCCGACTGACTGGTGTTCACCCCTCGTGTCGGTCCTCAAGCCGAACGGCAACGTGCGTGTATGCGTAGACCTCAAGCGCCTGAATGCCAGCGTCAAAAGAGAGCACTACCCGTTACCGACCGTGGACGACACGCTCGCACAACTCAACGGTTCTACCATATTCTCTACGCTGGACACCACGTCTGGCTTCTGGCAGATCCCACTCTCCGAGGAAGCGTCGTTGCTGACGACGTTTATCACTCCCTATGGCCGCTTCAAGTTCGAGCGCCTTCCCTTCGGCATAACGAGCGCGCCTGAGATATTCCAGCGCCGGCTACAAGGTCTACTCAGCGATATTCCCAACGTAGCAGTGTTCATAGACGACATCATCGTCTATGCTTCATCGATGGCTGAGCATGATGCTGCTCTGCTCGCCGTCGAGAACCGACTCCGCGATGCCGGTCTGACACTGAATCCGAACAAGTCTAAGTTCAGATGCACGTCCCTAAAGTACCTGGGCCATCGGATCAGCGACAAGGGTGTCCACCCTGACCCAGCTAAGCTGGATGCCATTGAGCGCCCCGCAGCACCAGCTGATGTGGAAGAGCTCCGTCGTGCACTCGGACTCTTCACGTACCTCTCCAAGTTTCTGCCGTCATTGTCGACCGTAGCCGCCCCACTGCTCGAGCTACTCCGGTGCGACGCGACGTGGCAATGGACCAAAGCACATGAGCTAGTTTTCACAGAGCTCAAATGCCTAGCTGCCTCAGCCCCGTGTCTCGCGTACTATGACCCGTCTGCCCCGACCATCGTCACGGCTGATGCGAGCAGCTATGGATTGGGTGCTGCACTGCTACAGTTCCACGACAATGAGTGGAAGCCGGTCGCGTACGCCTCACGCACCATGACAGCAGCAGAGAAACGGTATGCCCAGAACGAGAAAGAGCTCCTCGCCTCGGTCTGGGGATGTGAACACTTCCATCAATACCTCTACGGAGCGCCCCGATTTACCATTCAAACGGACCACAAGCCGCTGGTCCCACTAATGAACACGCGTGACCTCGACCGAGTACCTCTACGCTGCCAACGTCTACTGATCAGACTCATGCGCTATGATGTACAGGCGGAGTACGTGCCTGGCAAGAACATGGTTCTCGCCGACACGCTGTCCAGAGCTCCTCTTCCTGACACGCCAGCAACCGAATCCGACCTACACAGTGACTCGGAAGCCACCATCGCCGCTGTCCTGTCGTCTCTATGCAGTCCTACCAAGCAACACGCTCTCGTTACAGCCACTGCTGACGATCCAGTCCTGCAACAAGTAATCCAGCATACCCTCCATGGCTGGCCGACCAAGGTCAACGCAGACCTGGAAGCCTACCGCAACGAACGTGGCTCGCTCTCAGTTCACGACGGTCTGCTGTACCACGGATTTCGGATCGTAGTCCCGGCATCCGAGCGCAAAGCTACACTTGCCACTTTGCATGACGGCCACCAAGGCATAACCAAGTGCCTGGCCCGTGCAAAGTCCTCCGTCTGGTGGCCAGGTATCACACGTGCCATTTCAGAATGCGTGCAGAACTGCCTGACCTGCACCAGCATCGTTTTCAGCCGCCAGAGCCTCTGTCTCCAACTGCGTTTCCCTCTTTGCCATGGGAGAGAATAGGAGTCGACCTCTGCCAACATGACGGTCAGGAGTACCTCATTGCTGTCGACTACTTCTCCAGGTACATTCACGCCATCTCGCTACGGAAGACTACCTCTGGAGCCGTCATCAAGGAACTCCACGAGCTGTTCGCCATCCATGGCATCCCTCAAGCTCTTGTGTCGGACAACGGTCCACAGTTCGCAAGTGCTGAATTCGCCGCATTCACAGCCCAAATGCAGCTCACCCACCGCACCAGTAGCCCGCACTACCCACAGAGCAACGGTGAAGCTGAGCGAGCAGTTCAAACATTCAAGCGTCTCCTGAAGACCAACAACAGCCTCAACGATGCCCTGCTCAGTTACAGGTCAACACCCCTCGCAAACGGCTACTCGCCAGCCGAGCTCCTGTTTGGTCGTCGTCTACGCACACACCTCCCATGTACAGCGGAATCCCTCGCTCCAAGTTGGCCTGATCTCGCCAAGCTAAGGAAGTTCGAGGTGAGGCAGAAAGACCGACAGAGTGAGACGTACGACTCGTCACACCGAGCACAATCTCTGCCACCATTGACCCAAGGCGACCGAGTCTGGGTGCAAGATCTCGCTTCCGAAGCCGTGATTGCAGACCGCGTCTCCGACAGATCCTATATTGTCACGACCGACAACCTGTCCGAGTACCGCCGCAACCGTCGCCACGTCAAGTTGCTACCTGATGTGCAACCAACACCAACACCGCAGTTGAATGTCACTACACCTGCAGAACCTCCATCCGCTGATGTCGAGTTCCAGCCTACCTTGCGCCGATCAGCACGTCCATCCCGGTCGCTGAACAGACTCGACCTGTAAACGCATTAGTCATTGCTCATGCTATGATCACTCCAGTCGCTGACGCTGATGATCGTGAACTGCATGTAGTATTTGTGTGTCTCTACCCTATCTCCTCTGTATGTATATGACTAAATATTCTTCGAGCTGTTACCTCTGTAACCTCTCTCTCTTCGAACATAAAAAGGGAGATGTTGTGGTCCCGTTGTTGTACCCGATCCGTTCCGGGATCGGTTACCCATATGCATTCCCGTACTGTGTACATATATGGATCCTGGTTGTGCATCTTTATCTTTCCTTGTTCTATGTAAATAAACTTTAGTTGTTGTCTGGGACTTGTGGAGAGAAGTTGATCTATGGAGTGCGGGAACTAACTTGATGTTCACTCAGGAACATTACACTGAGCAACACTGGTCGCTCGACAGAAATTGGTTTCTGATTGTCAGATGTCGAGGTGCTGCGCGGTCCCTGGTTGTCGCGCGTTGCATTTTCAACCAGTATGGTGAGGCGAGTCTCGCAAGCCTCGGCCGCTACAAATTCTACAACTACAAGAAACCTATGCTACACGATCGATCGTTTGAAAATACAAGGCTACAGAATTCACGGACAATTACAGACTGTCAAATATTCCGTACTCAGGTTACTAGTAGTTCACTGCGCCATGTTAGGTTTGGTAGACAAGAGACAAGTAGTGTATTGGTTGGAATACACGAAGAAGAAAAACTGACAAGATGAAATCTGTAAATGACAGAGAAAACTCTCAAAGAAATGCGTGAGTGCATACACAGAAGAGCTAAAGTTGTACTACATTACGTCATAACATAACACCAGTGTTCTACTATACTTGCACATCAGACCAAGTTCAGTGTGCTTAACAGTACCCATTTTTTAGAATTCTTTATTCTCACGATGGCACCATCGCCAATAAGGGATACGTTTATGAGAAGGTGAGATACTGTGGGTGGGGCTGTGGGTTATGCAGTCGGAAAGTGATTTACATCACTTTGAATTTTACAAGCATGGGAGAGGGTGAGCGCTGCAGGACCAGAATGAGTTAATTAGCAGTGAGCAGATTTCTTGTTTGAAAGCAGGTCGAGAGGAGACGTCACGAATGCAAGCAGGAGGGCATTGTAGTATTCTAGGGACTTGTACAGTGGGGAGTCTTTACAGCGATCGGTTCTGGTGGGTGGGAGGTGCCAAGTGCGTGCGTGTCGAAGGCTATACTGGGCCGTAACTTGAGCAGGGGTGTTGAGCATGTGTATGTGTTGTGGGGCATATTCGTATTCTATGGAGTGTGCAAAAAGGGTGAGCTTCACTTTGCGGCGAGAGAACATTGTCGGCCATTTGAGCCGATGGAGCAATGATGAATGATTCAGACCAGTGTAGAGGGGGAGACGGAGGCAAATTCTGGCCGCCTTGCGCTGGATTCGCTCAAGACGGTCAAGGGCTGTGATTGAGAGTGGGCTGACAGCAATGCATGCATAATAAATTATAGGCAGGATATTATGTTTTGTAAATGAGAGAGAGAGAGATTTAGAGTGTAGAGTTGATCTGAGCCCAAAGAGAATATTAAAATATTTTACGGCTTTCTTCAGCACAAAGTCAAGGTGGGCTGACCATTTTAGGTCGTGCTGATAGATGATGCCGAGGTGGCGATGTTGCAGGACATTTATAAAATGTGCATTGTTGCGCTCTATGTGTGGGAGATAGCGAGGGGGGCGATTTCCGTTGTAGAAGGTGAAGACTATCGTTTTTACAGTGTTGATAAGGAGGTGCCAGCGCTTCAACCATCCAGCGGCGGCTGACACGCTGCTCTGCAGTTGCAGTTGGCAGTGTGACGCAGAGCCGCTGGAGCAGACGAGGGCTGTGTTTTCAGCAAATTGGCCGGACTTGGCGCTGGCGTTCTCACAAGCGGCAGGCAGGTTGATGGTGTACACCAGAAACAGCAGTGGTCCCAGGACTGAGCCCTGAGGCACTCCGGCCGGGATGGGGAGGAAGGCTGATGTTGTGCTTTCAACTCGCGCTCGCTGCTTACGCCCAATCAAGTACGCTGAGAAGCATCGCAGTGCTGCTTCCTGGATACCGTAGTGCTTGAGTTTGGCCATGAGGCCCTGATGCCATACTCTGTCAAAGACTTTGCTCAGGTCAAAAAAGCAAGCTTTAATTTGATTTCCCGAGACACGAGCCTCCGAAATGTCATGCACCAGTCGAGCAAGTTGCAGCTCCGTGTCTTTCTCCCTGAATCCGGATTGGTTAGAAGGTAAGTGCGGTGAGATGTGTTTGTAGAGGCGCGAGTGAACAATTTTTTCTTGTTTTTTTAGGTTATGCTGAGCAGGGAGATGGGCCGGTAGTTTGTTGGCTAGGAGAGGTCTCCTGGGGGAGATCGTGGCATCTTTCCAGTCTTGGGGAATTTCTCCGGGTGCAAAAGGTCAAGTTCAGGAGGGCAGCCAGGGATTCTGAAGTTTCTGGTGCTGCTTCTTTGAGGAGACGGGTTGGTAGAAGGTAAAATTACTGTAAACTATCCAGACTCAACAGAGATGGCAACAAGAACTGCGATTTTGATCCCGAAACCACCAGTTCAATGACATAGACAAGAACATTACCAAAAGAACATCAGTCCTTGAAATAACAGTCGGACATTGGACATTTTCCGACCCTTTTCGGTCGTTGTCTAGCCGAAATATCCCTGCGACAGACATAGTGTCCGATTGATCGGAGACTAAAAAACGACTCCCAAACTTCCTTAACTTCGCGAATACTTGACCTCCTCGAGCGATCTATCAGCAATAGAAAACTCTCAGCTGTCGCCTTGAAGAAACCCGAACGCGACCCAAGGTCCTGGAGTCGGGCTATATCTCAAGCTGTATTATGAGCTTGTAAAATGCACTTCAGCTGGGGATTTGCCCATTTTTGCACGTCCCTAGCCAGCCAGGTGCTATGACCAAATCAGGCTACGGGCATCCAGAGGTCTTTGCAAAATCTCAGTGCTCTACGATAAAATTTGAGGGAATTGCATTGCGATGAGTATTTCGCTAGCAATTGACATGACCATTGCGCGTACGCTTGCTTTGCCCACTGTACATTTACGTTGATTCTTGTCATGTCTACAGGAAATGTATTCCTTATGGATAGAGCCTTTCAGAAAGCTCAAGATTTTGAAAATCGACCAACAAATTAGTAGTGTAGTTATTTAACTGATAGTGGGAGAAGTATGTGCAAGAATGCCGATTTCGCATTTTCTGACATCAGTTCTAGTCCTTACAGATTGGGAAGAGAAAAGGTGGCCACGATGGCCCTCCTCATGGCACGAAGCTCTGCGCTGTGCGTGCCACCAATTTTGACAAGTGGACTGCTGAGCGCGACAAGGACCTTTCAACATGGAGTGTGAGAGATGCAAAGATGAACGCGCAGGAGTGAAGTGGTTAGGTGCAATGTTTGTGTGCGGTTGGCAGAGAAAATTAATTTTGTTCGTTCAAAAGCTTCCCGGAGTCTTTTATCGTTGGGTCGAGAATTTTAAAACGGGTTGTCTTTCAAAGATTTCTGTGGAAAAATGGTATGTCCGGGAAGTGTCAGCACATTACGTCAGAACGACCCTGATTTCTTATCACATGTCCTGGAACACCAAACGTGCACATGCGCTTAGTTACAAGCCCGGGGAGGGGGGGGGGCACAATTCAATAGAGGGCTATATATTTTTCCATGTGCTCTTAGAGACTGAGGTACTCTTCAACATAGAGCACTATTCAACATAGAGCACTATTCAAGAGAGTCATCTAATCGTGAAAGTAGAGTAATCCTTCTTTTCTGCACCCACCCAAACAAAAATGCACCAGGGATATCCTGACTTACCGCAGCTTTCGCTTCCAATGAATGTCCAGCATTAAGTAGATATTCTAGTACGCACACATGACCTTTGGATGCTGCAAGGTGTAATGGTGTACCACCATTCTGGAAGTAGCATCGTTAATGAATACAAACCATGGACACACAAACACACACACAAATACACATACACATACACATACATACATACACATATATACATACACATACATACATACATACACATACACACACATACACGCTTGTGCGCGAATGTGCATGTGAACAGATGCACACAAGCGTACACACACACACACACACACACACAAACACACACACACACACACACACACACACACACACACACACACACACACACACATACAAACACACACACACATTTAGTTAATAAAGGCAACACCGGCACTGGCATATCGATGAAGAATTCATTTGGAATTGATGCCTTCTACTTGGCATCTGCGATATGGGTTGGTTTTCAATTAATTTGGTTATAGCCTTTGCGCAGTGTAAGCTCCATAACTGGTTCAGGCAGGTCAGCAACCCTGTGGGGTTGGGGAGGGGGGGGGGGGCGGGCAGGGGGGGGGGGGGTTGGAGGAGGCGGGTTACTTAGACCCATTTGAAAAAAGTTGCAGAATTTATTGGGTTGTATAGAACATGCATGATGAGCTAGGCAAGAAAGCATAACGTAGGGCTCTGAGTGAAAGAAAGAAAATTTCTCTTTGCATTCGAGGGTAATACGACACCGCGTACCACCTTGATGACCTAGGCAAAAAAAGCATAGTGTTGTTATAAATTTTCCATTTCTCCTTTTTTTTCAAGACATAACCTAGGATTCGAACATGCACTATCGCCCTGCATGCATTCCCCGATACACTTCGCATACATACTCATTCTTCCAAGTTGCTTCACGTCATGATCTTGCATTTGAAAGCACTATTTGAATATTGTGGCCGGCTGTCTTTGCTGGTACGGTACGTTACAGGTACGAGATAGGGCCAGGCATCTTTAACGTTTGCAGTTCTTCGACAACAGCTCTCCCCTTCATCTCTTTTGCGGGTGTAGTCTAGTGAATCCGTACATGCGTTATAATAATTATACCAATCCCTTTGTCTGGGTTCGTGAAAAAAGCCAAGCATGCAAGTCAGCTCGGGTGAAGTGCATAGTTTTGTATCTAGTTG